CCCCACCCCCTCCCCCATCCACCCCGCACGCGACAAATGTGGTTTTTAAAAAGTGAACTTTTTATAACATCCACACTGGCGAGGGTGGGTGCACCCTGCGCGTGTACCCAAAGCATGACTTTTGCTGTTGTGCTGTTGAAATGTCTCTTGTCGGGGAGGGGTCTGTGGTCTGGGTCTTGAGGAGGAGGAAAAAATTAATGAGTTGCGTGAACTTTTATTTAAGATTTAAGTTTTTTATTTTTTAATTTCAAAGGTCCTTCTGGCTCAGCAGCAGAAGCATAAATAATACTGTTAAGAAAGCTGATGATAAAGCTGAATAAAAATCTAAGTCTGGTTATGAAGTGAAATTAAATATCTGACAGTGATCATTACACAGCGTGGCTCTAATTCCTCACTTCACCATCTGTGTCGCTAAAGTCGCAGTTTCCCATCTCCAAAATGAGCGCACGCATGGGTCAAAGCTGGCGTGAGGCACCACACATTTTCACGTCAAGTTTGGATTTTATAAATCACAACCTTGGCATGAAAAGTGATGTATGCAAGTTTTATAAATCTGACCCCAGAGCCTGTGAGCTGGCCTCGGACAGCGTCAACATTTTCTCATCGTTTGATTGGATGATCAGAGAGCAGGAGTCAGAACCGGGAAACTAGATTTCTGTAGTGTCTTACAAGCTAAATTCCGAGCGGACATTCTCAGAGTTATAGAAAATTAAAACTTATAACAAAAATACAGAACAGAACAGACTGGACTTTCAGTGTTAGCTTCATAGTGGTGATGAAAGGGACTTATTGTTGAAACGAAACGCCAGGAGGACCTGTATGAAAGAGGAGCTGGATTTTTCTTGAGGAAAATGTAGTTTTTAAACAGATAATAAAAAGTTTTGGTGAATAAAATATATTTTATTTAAATGTTTTATTTAGTTATCAACTTATTATATAACCATATTGATGCTGTTGTTAATGTATGGCACAGCTGTGGCTGCAGTTGAGAAAACTTGTTAATGTGTTGCTTCAGTGATGACTTTCATTCTGGCTTCATGAGACACCTGCCTCTGGTAAATGGACTAAAGTTATAGAGCGCTTTTTCAAGTCCCTCCGGACCCCAAAGCGCTTTACACTAACAGACATTCACCCATTCACACACACATTCACACACTGATGATGGCAAAATACGTTATAGCCACAGCTGCCCTGAGGCACACTGACAGAGGTGGGGCTGCCATGCACCGGCGCCACCGGACCCTCTGACCACCATCAGTAAGCAAAGCAGGTGAAGTGTCTTGGCCAAGGACACAACAACAGAGATGGCTGGATGGGGGATCGAACCGGCGACCTTCCGGTTCCAGGATGACTCCCCTTACCACTCCACCACAGCCGCCCGAAGCTGCACCCCTGTGGTGAAGCTGAGACACCTGTCTGTGGTGCAGTTGAGACGCCTGTCTGTGGTGCAGAGACACCTGTCTGTGGTGCAGTTGAGACACCTGTCTGTGGTGCAGTTGAGACACCTGTCTGTGGTGCAGTTGAGACACCTGTCTGTGGTGCAGTTGAGACACCTGTCTGTGGTGTAGAGACACCTGTCTGTGGTGTAGAGACACCTGTCTGTGGTGCAGCTGAGACACCTGTCTGTGGTGTAGAGACACCTGTCTGTGGTGCAGAGACACCTGTCTGTGGTGCAGCTGAGACACCTGTCTGTGGTGC